GGAGTTTTAGAATTAAAATATGAATAAAAAAAATAGTGAAAACAAAAAAATTCACATTTATAATAAAAAATTTTGACTAAAATAACTCAGAAATGCTTAAAAAGCCGGTATTTATCGTTATTTGATTGTTTTTGACCTTCTGCTTTCTTTCTATGGACTTTGTTTTTCTCCTGTTTTCTTTCTACTCCTTTTTTATTCATTTCATTTTTGTCACTTTATTACGATGTTTTTGTGAAATTAAGTTTTAAAATCGAAATATGAATGAAAAGATTTGAAATAAAAAAATTACACATTCATAATCAAAACTAAAAAATTTAACAAATTTCCCCTTCTCTATTTTGTTCTACTCTTTTATCTTTTTTCCTCTTCTCTCCTCTCATTTTTTCAACTTATCATATTTTTTGTAAAAATAAGTTTTAGAATCGAAATCGGAATGAAAAGAAAAAATTTGAAGATTTTAATTTTTAATTTTGATTAAAAAAACTTAGATTAAAATTTTAAACAAGGTTATATCCTTTACCCTTGCATTTTTGGGTAATAAATCTGACAGTAGTAAAAATCTCTTTTCCACCTTGTGATATAACATACTATTATGTGTTTTTTATTTTACGTTTATAAGTTGTCTTGGTCCATGTCTCCCGGGCGCGAAGTGTGTGTATTTGGGAAAACTTCAAAATTGTTGAAACACATTTGTAAAAAATAATATATTTAACAATTAATGTAATTTTTACAGACTTCAGTACTACATGTTCAATAACAATCTAAATGCATTGGTAAAAAAAACACATGATCAGATCGAAAGATCACTTGAAGTTAATTTTTTCATCAAATGACCATGTATGAAAAAATTAACTTCTCAACCTTGGAAATTTTACGAGACATCACAATTTATTTCATTCATTCTAGTCGCGTTATAAAAGTAACAAAAACACGAACATAGCAGATGAATTTTCAACTCTTCTAACCATCAAAATCAGAAGTTGAAAAAATAAACACATTCACACAAACTTAATATAAGTTACCGACATTCGGTCAAAATATAGTGCAAGTCTTTGACGCGAAGGCCGCTATCAAATTCACATACTTGGAAAGATGCACTGAACTAAAACTTAACTAGCAATTGTCTTTTCCTAGTAGTGATGGATTCATGTTTGGTGGGGCATTTACATCATTCCGCCCATTCCACCCATACCTCCCATACCACCCATTCCACCGCTTGGAATTGGAGCTTCTTCTTTTGGTATTTCGGTGATTACTGCTTCGGCGGTAGTTAGAAGTGACGCTACACCAGATGCATCAATGAGAGCTGTGCGTACAACCTAAGCAAATTAATTAATTAATTATTACTGCCAGGAAGCTAAATAGAACTATGAAAAAAATCACGGGGTTAACCGGTGCCTCACCACGTTTACAAAACGTCATTTTTTTTGACGTTAGGTTCAATATCTACAAGTTAGAAGTTGTTTATTCATGAAAGTGTTGCTTTGTACGATTCTTTGCAAAAACATTTAAAATTTAATGTAATAAATTGGAAATGACGTTCTACCTGCAGTGTATTTATTACATCATTCTTTTCCAATGTTTTTGGATGTTGTATCTAAAACTCGGAATTTTTAGTGTACCGATTTTCTAAAGAACTGAGTAAGTTGAGAAGAAAACGGATGCAAAATCATCATAAACATAAAGAGCGTGAAAAAGTAATTTCTTACATTGAGTTTTTTTAAGGGTTTAAAACTATAGACGATCTTATGCATTTTTCCAGATAAGAAAAAAGAAAAAGTTGAAATACAAAACGTCTACAAAACAAAGTTGCATCTTACATCCTTCGAAAACAAACAATAAACGTTAAGGGGATTCTACCCTTAAACGGTAAATTTCTTGTTGACGTAGGAAAAAAATAAAGAATCGACGTGTGGAAAACAGTAAAAAAGATATTATTTCGTACAGCCGTAGGATGGATGATAGACAGGATTGTAAAAGATCCCTAAAATTGAAATTGTTGAAGTACTGAGTAAAAGAAATAATCTGAGCGAAATCTGGTGCTTGGTTTTTTACACATTTATGAATTTGATTTTGTTTTTATTTTATACAGGGTGCGCCAGAGAAAAATGCCATATAAGGTAAGATACCAGGAACATGGAAAAAATGTTAAAAAAATTTTATCTATAAAAATTTCGAAGTTATGAGGCTTTAAAGTTTGCACTTTGACTATTTATTTCTGTTGGAAAAATAATTTTCAATTTTTTTTGCAATAGGCTATTAAAAAAGGAAACAAGGAAGCTGTATCCTAAATTGTAACTCTGTTTAGTCTTATTTGTGACTTTCATTGGCAAAATTTTTGTCCTTTTACTAAATAATTGTAATAAAAAAACATATACAAAATCATCAGTATCATTAAATTGATATAAAAAATGTCAATTGTCAAAATTTTTTGACAGATAGAATTTTTTTAATATTTTTTTCATGTTCCTGGTACCTTACCTTACTTAAAAATTTTCTCTGGGGCGCGAGTTCTGGCGCACCCTGTATTTATTTCAGCCGTAATTAAATTCGAATTTAAAATTAAAGTCGTAGTTTAAAATTAGATAGTCCGAGATTTTTAAGAAACTATAAAATTCGAGTTGTCTTTAATTTTAATATTAAATTAGAAATTTTACTAAATTCAGAAATTATTATGAAGCAATTTGTCAAACTGATATTAAAATTGACAAAATGCCAAGAGAAGTGTATTCCATAAAACACGTCGTCAATCAAATCGTATTTTATAACTACATAAACATTTATTTAGACATTTTGTTAATTTTGACAATTTTCTTTAAAACAATTTTTAGATAATGTTGGAAAATTTTTTGAAAACATTAAATTATTAAATATTTTTTTTACATCTAGCTAACATACGAAATGCTATGCAACATACGTCCTCAATTAGAACGCCTACATGATAGAAAGACTTTTTTGATCGCACTGTTTTCTCTGTAATGTTAGTTTATCTAAATATGCAATTATTTTTAAATTAATATTAAAACGTTTTGATTGTTGTAAAACGATATTTCAGTTGTGACAATAATATCTACATTTTTTGCAAATTATACTTCTTTCTCTTCTTACAAACATCTCGTGTTTCCCACACAACTGCACCCACCTGAACTAATTTTCACCCAATTATTTTATTTTTATGAACTACTACAAAACAAAATATTTTTTCCAAAAATTTATTATTGTCGGACAAAATTAAGTAATTATCAGATTTAGTGCAATTTATTGACATCTTGACAATAAGCAGGAAACTAATTTGCAAGTTTTTGTACAAATGATTTAGTAAAAAATTTGTTTTTTCATTCACAATTCTTAAAAATGTCATGATAATGTCGTCACTTAAAAACAAATGACTATTGAAAATTGCCTGTTATAAAAATAAAGATTTTTATCTGACAAAATCGACATAAGCAAAAAAAAATTACTTATTACATTTTTAATAATTATTTTTAATTTTATTTATTACCTTAGAAAGGTACATACTGATGTAAAAATTGTGTTAAAACCTTAACGATGAAGTAAATATCGGGATTATTTCGCAATTATGGCATTTTTACATTTTTCAATATCTTGAAGATATATTTTGCGTATTACTTATTTACATTATTTGATAGGGGCTAACTTTTTTAAAAATTAAAGAACAAAAAAAAAATTAAGTACATTTAATTCAATAAAAATTTAATAACTACCTTTTTCGGAAAAAACAAAAATTGGGCCCCTGCATATAAGACAAATCTTTTATTAAAAAAAAAAAATAAGTAAAAATTCCAGTTAGTTTCCGAGATATTTTAGATTGTAATTCCCATAAGAAGAATCTCAAAATAATCTCAAATAATCACAATTTTATTTACAGAGTGTGATTTGTGCCATAGCAGACACAATATGTAAAGTACTAAAACAGCATTTGAATGTTTTTTTTTAATAAGATTGGCCCCATTTTTTGTAGAATAAATAAAGGCTAATTTTTATCGCTGACCCCTCACTATTTCAATTTTTTACATTAACACAACTGCATTTATGCCTGATTTCATGGAAGTTACTTAATCGTAAGGAATTATTAAAAGACGCAGAACAAAAGCAAGAAATCAACTAATAAACGAAAAATACTTGCAAATTATACCAAAAAGACTTTCAATGACGACAATAATGTTACTGTCAATGTCAAGGCCACCATCCTTTCAATTTACATTGTGATAGAATTTTTTTTCACTTTTGTGTTGGTAATGAAAAAATGAAATTGATGACGCAACGGTCTACCCTCCTGATTTTTACTATAAATTACCTTCGTTGGATCGATAATCCCTCTTTCATACATATTGACATATTCGTTATTAAGAGCATCGTAACCGTAGTCACCTTGCTGTTGTTCAACTTTGGCAACGACAGTCGCACCATCAACGCCAGCATTTTTCGCAATGGTCATGCAAGGTACTTTTAAAGCTCTCTTTACAATTTCAATTCCTGTTGAAATATATATTTAGTCAAGTTTCACCTATCGTGTAAACTTACCAATAGCCTGGTCATTATTTCCAGGTTTAAGGCCATCCAAACTACTAGAACACCTAAGCAATGCAGTACCACCTCCAGGAACAATCCCCTCTTCAACAGCTGCTCTAGTCGCATTCAAAGCATCTGTCACTCTATCCTTTTTCTCATTAACTTCAACCTCACTACTGCCTCCTACTTTCAACAAAGCAACACCTGAAGCCAATCTCGCTAAACGTTCTTGGAGTTTCTCTTTCTCATACTCGGATGTGGTATTCTCAATCTGGTCTTTAATTTGTTCAGCACGTTTAGTAATATCATCTTTTTTGCCTTTTCCTTTCAAGATTAGTGTATCATCTTTGGTGATGACAATTTCGCCAACTTGACCAAGATCAGATAGTTGAACATCTTCGAGTTTGACAATATTGGCTTCATCACCGAAGACAATACCTCCAGTTGCGATAGCCATATCATGAAGCGTAGCTTTGCGGTTATCACCAAAACCTGGGGCTTTTACAGCAGCGACTTGAAGACCAATACGCAATCGGTTGACGACTAAAGTGGTTAAAGCTTCACCATCAATGTCTTCAGCTACAATAATTAAGGGTTTCTTTTGCATGTTTGCAAGCTCCAAAGCAGGAACAATGCTTTGAACCGATGAGATTTTCTTCTCGCTGAGGAGAACTAACGCGTCTTGGTATTCCACCTTGGCACCTATTTATTACATAAAAAAGGTTTTACTTTGCTTTGCATAACTTAAAAAAAAAAAACAATAATTGTTAAATTATGAAGAAAACTAATTCTAATAATAAAATTAGTATCGTCATCACAATTTAATTTTCTTGCACATGTCCGACACCCAATCAATTACAGGACACATTAATTGGGCTCTAATATGTGCAGTATTTTGAAAACAAGATTACTCTCTTAATATACAACAGAATTTCAATTATTATACATCAAAGTGAAGGTTTTTTTAAATATAAAGGCCGATACGTTGAGATTTAAAAAAAATGTATTACCTTTAAAAAAGAAAAAAAATGCATAAATGCTGAACTTGAAAACAACTTTACTCAGTCATTTTGCAAGTAATCAATCTTCGTTTTTGTAAGATAATTTAAAAAAATATTCTATAGGCCGATGCGTTGGCATTTTTTTGAAGTGTTTAGTTTTTGAGATATTAGGGCCTATTCTGTAAATACTTATTAAAAAATAAAGGTACCTTTAAATTTAAATATTTAAACCCCCAAATTTAAATAAGGTATTTTGTATGCATAAAATTAAATGCTCATTTAAAAATATCTTTTTTAAACGGACCCTTTAAAATATTCGGCTTTCATCGTATTAAGTAGAGGAAATGTTATTATTTTGTTATAAATGAACTATTTTTGCTGGTTTTAGATGATGAGCCGACTACGAAAAAATGTCAAGCCAGTTTTATTTGTCATTTTCCGTCAAAAACGTTCAAAATGCTTAAAGAAAGATTGTCACAAATGACGAAAGCGCAGAAAGAGGTGCACATAAGGTATGCACATTTTAGATCAAACTCATTCCAAAGAATCCAAAATAAGAAAATTCAGAAAAAACAAAAAAAAAAGAGAATTGTTGAGCCTCAGTTTGTAGGCATAGCAAGAAATCGAAAACGAAAAATGTTTGGAATCCTTGGCCAGTAATATTCTTTGCTACAATAATATGGTTGACCTGGAATATAAAGAGTGTTCTTCTGGGGGAAAAATAATTTTAATATGTGCACAGTCAATAATTACAATCGCAACTTCATTAACAGGAAATTTTACCCAAATATTAATTAATCCTTGAATAATTGCATTGGTCACCTCATTAATATTCCTACTTAAATTAGGCTAGCTCTGTGACATCGAGTAACTATGTCCTATTCAAGTAAGGTAACTACCATGCCCAAAAAAGTACAATGCACTTAAAACTCTAAGGTGCACTGGTATTCTAGTATTTCGTTGTGCTCTTTGCATTGACTAAATATTAAAAACAAAATTTATTTAAACAAAATAAAAGCATCATTCCAAGTACATAAATAGATTTGTGGTATCCCGTAATTGACGCTGATAAATTCTACAAATGCTACCCACAAAGTACCCTTTAAAAATTAAGCATTTAAAGGTGAAAAATAAAGGGGGTATTTAAAATTTTAACAGGAAAGATACATACAGAATAGCATCGAAATATTAAATGTGATTTAAAATTTTAAACACCCTTTAAAATTTAAAAGTGTATGTTTAAAATTGTATGTTTACAGAATAGGCCCTATTGTGATTGATGAAAAAGTCACGATATTTAACGGTAGACCTAAAGATTCGTTTTAAAGTTTTGGTATTTATTACAAAATATTAATTCTTAACAAATTCAACAAACACCATGTAATAAAATACTGTTGTTTTTTTGTTGTTTAAGCTTGTTTCGAGAGCGTATACAAAAAAGTGCATTACTTTTAAAAAAATGCTCGCCAGAAGTCTAAAACAAATAGTTTTTTAGTCTGGCAACTATGAAAAAAATCATTGGACAGATCGTTTTAAATGTTAAATGTGGTCAATGGCAAAAAATTGCAATGGAAAACAAACACACTTTTAAACTAAAAAAAAAAAAAACCTAGCTAAAAAAAATCATAAATGCCCCTCCAAAGAATATGAATTTTATATTGCGCATTGTAAATTTGATATTTAGATGTACAGCCACGGAGTTTTGGACGATTTGTCATTCGGTTGACATAAAATGTAAAACTGACTTTATGTGCAATTTTTTTTGATTTTTGTAGCTAAATAAAAATGACAATAAATCAAAATAATAATAAAATAATAATAACAATGTAAAAAACGTACTGCAACTGCTGGCATTATTGTATGTATTAGGAAATCGACGCCAAAAATAAATTTCAACTAAAACTTTCAAATTTTAGACCCAAACATCAACCATAATGACACTAAAGCGCGGCTTACATTGATATTTTTTGAACTGACATAACTTGATGTCCAAAATTTCGTGTCCACAATTGCATACATTTGTAATTTTTCCGATTGTAAAAATTTTAATTTATGGAATATTACAGGGTGCGCCAGAACTTGCGCCCCAGAGAAAAATGCCATATAAGGTATCAAGAACATGGAAAAAATGTTTAAAAAAATGTATCTATAAAAAGTTGAGGGCTTAAATTTTGTACTTTGACTTCATTTACTTCTGTTGGAAACATAATTTTCCAAGTTTTTTTGCTATAAGTTATTAAAAGAGGGAACAAAGAAGCTGTATTCTAAATTGTTCAATTTTATTTGTGGCTTTTATTCGCAAAATTTTTGTACCATTACTAAATAATTGTAAAAAAAACATATACAGTATTATTAAATAGACATAAAAAATGTCAAATGCCAAAAAATAAATGTCAAAATTATTTGACAGACAGAATTTTTTAAACATTTTTTCCATGTTCCTGGTATCTTGTCTTACTTGAAATTTTTCTCTGGGACGCGAGTTATGGCGCATCCTGTATGTCTTGTTACGCCATATAAAAATTTAATTTCTATTGAAAATGCAACCTGTGAGCTTTCTAATTTGTAAATATGTACAACCTATTAGCCAGATAGAATAATTATGATTAGATTATTTTTTATTAAAGTCTAAAAGTCAAAACAATATTTAGCTTTTTAAGAAATTTCTGGGGCAACTTCAACACAATTCAAGGGATAAAAATATTATCGAAATGATCTTTAACTTTTATTACAATTTATTCAGAGTTTCGACCTTGTCTAGGGTGTATTGCTGGTTGCTTTTGAAAAAGAATAATAAGTACCTTTTGATGTATTCACAAAGTAGGGAGAAATATAACCGCGGTCAAATTTAAACCCTTCAATAACTTCAAGCTCATCGTGTAGAGTTTTCCCATCTTTGACCGTGATTACGCCTTCTTTGCCCACTTTCTTCATAGCATCGGCGATTAAATTCCCCACTGACTTATCTCCATTTGCCGAAATTGTGGCAACTTGGCAAATCTCCTCAGGTGTGGTGACAGGTTTCGACAAGGTTTTCAAAGTTTCAGTGATCTTTTCAACCGCTAACATGATGCCTTTACGAATTTCAACCGGATTAGCCCCTTTGCCAAGATTTTCAAAGCCTTCTTTAGCAATAGACCGGGCTAAAACTGTAGCTGTGGTGGTCCCATCCCCGGCCTCTTCATTCGTATTATTAGCAACGTCTTGTACCAGTCGAGCGCCGATATTCTGGAATTTGTCTTTCAGTTCCACGCCTTTGGCAACAGTGACGCCGTCTTTGGTGATTTTTGGGGAGCCCCACGACTGTTCAATGATCACATTGCGGCCCTGGAACGGAATGGGTTAAATGGGGCTGTTTGAATGGAATAGTTACCTTAGGACCCATGGTAACTGCCACAGCGTCTGCTAGAACATCGACGCCTTGGAGCATCAAGGCTCGGACTTCGGGGCCGAATCGGACGTCTTTTGCGTACCAACGCTGGATTTGGGAGAGTTTGTTGGCTTTGTGGAGGGCGACTGAGCGCATGGTTGACGGTAAGCGATACATCTAAAAAATTATTCAAATTAAATTGACGTTTGAGTGAAAATTTTAAACAAAATCCACAGCTTACTATTATGATATAAAATGGCCGATGAGTGTGACATAACCTTCAAACTGTAAAAATTCAATTTTACAATTTTATCCCAATTTTACAACTTAACTGAATGAAACATTACGCAAATTAGGATACTACACACGATACTGTATTAATTTTGAGGACTCAATAGACGGTTTTTTTGCACGTGTGTGTTTCATGAGAAGTCAAATTTCTATGAAAAATTTTAGGATTTAGGATTTAAAAGTTGAACTAATTGAAATGTGTTAATTACTGCAACGTTTCTTACCTTAAAAGATCCAATAACAGCACAAACTTAGAATATAAAAAATTATTTGCCGGCTCGTTCGCCTGCGATCACGTTTTTAGAAATTCTAGAAAAGAGATATGTCACTCACTTATCGTAGGTTGTGTTGCAACTTTTCACCGAAAGATGGTACCTCATTAAAGAAATCTTTATTACAAACCTAGAGCTTTTTAAGTTTAAATACAGAAGTAAGAATAGAAAGGACTTCACCTGACTGCAATTTTTAAATTTTTTTAAATTGCAGTTGTGTATTTTGGTAGATTTTTTTTTTTTTAATTTTTGTGTGCGACATCTGTTGGTCTATTTACGAATCAAAACAAAATGTGTATTTTCAAAGCGTCCAGAATTTTCTTCTTATCCGAAGGGAGCTCAAAGTTCAAGTATTTTAATTAATAGTTTATTGAAAATTAGTGGTGTAAAACTAATCTTACAAAAAAATAGCAAACGCAGTCTTTTGTTAAAAAAAATGTGCTAATAGTATATTACTCAACACGCATATAATGATGCCAGATTTTAATTAATTTAATTCCTTAAAAGTCAAATTGTGTTCATGACCACCATTGTGGTTGGCAACCAACATTACAATTGCCGCACAATAATGACAAATCGGTGATTTATGATAAGTCCAAGATGACTATAATACAGGTTGTTTCGTTTTTATTGTTACAAATTTAAACAGAAAACAGAATATTCAATTTTATTTATTTTTCAATTGTATCAGTTCTACAACTAGAAAAATATGATCTATGTTTACAATTCTTAAAATCACTTTGCAAAATGCCAAAATGTTTTAGATATAATATACTAAATAGCTACTTTGTAATTAATAATAATATCTTGAATTAACATAATATGTAAATATAATTGTATAAGTACTATGCCCAGGATGTTCCTATAAAAGTAGAAACACTTCCAAAATTTGCCAAAAGTTTTGTCAATTTTTTATTAAAAAAACTGTAAACTTTTTTTAATTAAGTGACGAAAAACATTTTTTCAAAAATCGATTTGAAAGTAGCAATTAATAAAAATCAAGCAAGTTTAAGAGAAATGTTTCCACAAAATGTTCAAATCTATTTACGAAAACACTACTTTTTTTATCTAAAATCTAAATAACTAAAATTCTAAATGCAAATATTAAGGAATCGCTTCCTTAATTTGCAAACCTAAAATAAGTTGGACGGATTGTTGGACGCAAATTAAGAGATTTAGAAAACTCTTAATTAAAAAAAAAAAACAAAAAACACAAACTAAACATAAACTTAATTAAATACAATAAATGGGTGATAACTTACAACATAATAAAATATAACTACGAGTATAAGTGACAATGTGATGTTAATTTTTTAGAAAATGATAATAGTATGGAATTAACTGAAATAACATTATAGATTTGACAAAATAACTAAAAAATCATCTATCTACTAGTATCACACAATAATTATTCTACCTTATAATGAGTATACTCATTAAATTAGTGATGTATGAAGATACAATAACAAAAATAAATAAAATCATTTTCAAGTATTATTTTCTTAAGTTCCACTTTTTAACTAAATATTAATCAAAATACTTTCTACAGCTGCACTCAAAGGGCATTAAATGTTATTTATTTACTAAAAAACCTAGCCCTACTGGAATGTATGGTATGGATGGTCTCATTAAAAACTAAAAAAACTTAATAAGTATTTTATAGATACAAAAAGTGCTAAATGCGGCTAATACTAGGTACGACTCTACAAAATAGTTACCACACCCACCCGATAATTTCTTCGATAAATATCAATTTTTGCTTTATTGATATAAAATGTTATATATCAACTTTACAAACATATCATTTCCAAAAATTATTCGTTTTTGTGTGGTAAACTTCCAATGGTTCTAAAAAAAACTATTAAGTACGAATATTAAAGCTTCAACCAACAATAAATCCAAATATTATTAAAAATAATAAATTTGAGTAAATTACATAGAGTATTTGCAAGAAAGATTGTGAAATTATATTAAAACAATTAGGTGTACAGGGTGTTCCATTTTTATAGTAACAAATTTAAACAGGTGATAGAATAATTCCATTTATTTTCAAGCGAATAAAAATGTTTTTGAGCCAAAACTTATTTTTTTCACAAAATTTTGCTAAAATACCCAAATTAGGGGTCAAAAACGAAATTAGTTTCGCCTTTCTCAAGTAAAATTTTACCCAAATGGGTCAAAAAATTAGCAAAGCAAGTTGAAAATTTTATATTGTTTGGTATATATTTAGGATTAAAAGAACTCTAACTATTTTTGATGAAGTTTCTTGCTACCAACAAAATTTTAAATTCTACTGTTTTTTACAAAAAAAAGTTCATTTACGTTTTTGCGATACAGCTAACCCTTTTTGTGTTAAATTTTTTAATATGCATGTTACACTTGTTTTGTTGTGTCTTTTACCGAAAAAACAATGGTTAACTTGGTCGAAAATCAAACTTTTGCTTTTTTAAACGTTTTAGCATGTTTTTAAGATAAATACTCATATTTTGAATAAGACTTCATCGAGACAAGATAAAAAATCACTAAATTAAATCGAATACTATGTTAGTTTTCACTTCCTCATGTGTTTAAGAAAGTTCTTCAGCCAGAAATGCAATTATTTTGCAAAATTTTGTCCAAACCAATCGAAAAGTCCATAAAAATTGTGCTATTTTTGCTTTTTCAAGCTAATAAACTGTGTTTTTTTCGTTAAAACAGACTAAAACTTACCAAATTAGATCGGAAATGATAATATTTTTGACGTTTCAATTATTTTTGAACCTTTTTAGTATATAATTTTGTTCAAAAAGGCCCAAAAATTACCAAATTAGATCGAAAATTATGCTATTTTTGACATTTTCGAGAGTAAAAGAATGTTTTTCAACTACAAACTTTTTTTCGCAACATTTCGCTAAAATGGGCCACAAAATCTAAAACTAGACAAACTAGATTCAAATTACCGTTCTATTTCAGTTTGTTTTACTGGATTTATTTTGGTGACCTAAAAACCTACTTTTTCTCGAAAAAAAAATATTCACAAGCAAAAAACCACCATGTGCACCTTTTAAAACGTTTAACATGTTTTTGAAATAAAAGATTTTGCAAAATTTTGGCAAAAAATGACCAAATTTGGTCGAAAATATTATTCTTTTTGACTTTTTCAGATAAAAATTACGCTTTTCCTTTGCGACATTTTGCTCAAGTAAGCCGAGAAATCTCTTAATTAGATACAAAATGGTGTTTTTTTGCTTATTAAGTAAAAATCCAATTGTTTTTGATACCCAAAATGCCCAAAAATTAATTAGGCAAAAAATTGTATTAATTCCATTTATTTTCAAGCGAACAAAAACGTTTTTGAGCCAAAACTGATTTTTTTCACAAAATTTTGCTAAAATACCCAAATTAGGGGTCGCAAACGAAATTAGTTTTGCCTTTTTCAAATAAAATTTCACCCAAATGGGCCAAAAAATTAGCAAATTAAGCTGAAAATGGTATATTGTTTGGTATTAAAAGAACTCCTAACTATTTTTGCTGAAGTTTCTTGCCATTTTCAGCAAAAAAAAATTAAATTCCATAGTTTTTCACAAAAAAAAGTTCTTTTACGTTTTTTCCTTTACAAAACATTTTTTGATACATGGTTATAGGAAACTTTTGTCTTAAAATTGAATATTCTTTTTACCTATTCAAATTTGTAACAATAAAAACGGCAACACCCTGTATAATAAAAACATAATTATATTAGTAATAAGTAGGGAGAAGCTTTTAAAATTGCACAGCTTCCCGACTAGTTATAAAGATAAAACGTAAAATTAGAACGAATTATTTGGATCGTTTTTTTTGTTAGGACTCGAAGACATGGCTGGATTATCGTAGGCATAGTCCAAAGTGCTGTCTTCTGCCGGTCTTCGACTTATTGATGTTGTCACTGTAACTGGACTATGTCCAGAGTGAGTAGATTCGGGGGAAATTTCCAGTCTTAAATCAGGTTTTTCGTTTTTAACTTGATTTGAAGCGGGTGTGGATTTATTCTGGACTGAATCAGCCTTCTAAAAAACAACGATAATGAATTGTTCACCTATATTTTTACTCTTACTTTGGAAAATAATTTGTTTTTGATTGTTGTTAATGTAATGTTTTTCTTTTTCTTCCATCTGTACATTTGAAAAATCAAAACTGATGCCAGGATAACAAGCATTAAACAGACTAAAGTGAGAGTGACTGTAACCATGTGGGAAAGCTGTTGAACAGTTGCTGAAATTTTTTTAATAAAAATGAAAATGTTAAATGTGGATTACAATAGCAAACCTCGGAGGTTCTGGTCTCCATTTCCATTGTTCTCTTTTTGTACATAACGAGAATCGTGGATGTAATCTAAAAATGAACTCAAAATATCATAAATACAGAATTTAGCAATTATGATGTGTTTGTGAATTTTTTTTCAGGTAATTATTGACTTTTATTTTTACTGTTTAAGCAATTATATTTGCTATTGTTATTGAAATACCTATTAAAAAGTTTTAAATGAAAAATTCTTAACAAATGACTGATTAAACAAAAGTTAGTTAATTAGTTATCAGGTGAATGAAAAGTATGGAACCAAATGTTTTTTGATTAAACTATTTATTTTTTTGATGATAAAGTGCTATAAAAATGTGGTTTTTCAAATTTTGTTTGTGAGTTCTATAAAAAAATACTTTTTTTTAATATCAATGCACTATAAAACCATTTTTCTTTTGCAGGTTATGATCTATTTTATATTTAATTTTTACATAAATTGCAATTTTGACAAAAAAATCACTTAAAACTTAATAATACCAAAACAAAATTTTTATATTACTTTAATTTATATTAATTATTATTTTCTGGAGACAAATGATTTAAAAAATGCTTGGCTCCATACTTTATATTCACCCTGTATATTTTACAAGATCGATAATTTTATCTACGTGAAGGTACGTTGTTCAAAATTCATAAATTAAATTTACATTGTTAATTATGTACATTAATCTACACAGCGTGTCACACCTAAAACTTGCCAACTTAATCTAATAAGTTCATCTAACAAGATTCTTGCTTAGACTTTTAAAAAATAATTTAAGCCTTACTGATGAGAATTGTGCAATAAAAAAACAAATAAAATGTTTTGTTACGTAATATTTAGTATTTTAAAATCACGAAAAAACAATAAATGTTTACATAACCAACATATTTTAATCACTTTGGTAACAACTCTAACACCAAATTTTTTTACTTTTATGCATATTTATGCACCGCAAAATCTCTAAAATTTCTCTTAACACATAGCTAAAACTCTAAATTAGATGGAATTTCAATGTAAAACAAAAAATTCTGCTTTCAAAAATATTTAATCTAATTAATCTCAAATGTTAATTTATTTCGATTGTCAGTTGTCACATGTAAAGAAATTCCATACACACACGTTGTATAAACTTTTGGATTTTTATTTATTTTTTTAATTCGAAATAGTTTTCCGGTGAGTAATTACTAATTATGCTTTAAAAATAATCTTTAAGAAACAATACTTGCTGATATCCTTGAAATTTCCCCAAAGTCTGAATAATATCCACATAGATGTTTAAATACGAATAATATGCTAATAGAGAGTATTTTAGCTAAAATTTCAAATGATTTTCTTAATCAATTATAAAATTTTGGTTTTATATTGAAACACTCAGGAAAAACAAATTCTTAATAGACTGAAGCAACAAAATAAAATAATGATTTTAATAAATTAATATCAATTAATCGTCTGTCCTAATCATTAATTAACAAAAAATGTTGCCATTTATTTAAGGGGTGTTTAAACTACAATGCAATTTTTCAATATTTTTAATCTATTTATGACATAAAAAAATGATTACGTGGGCATAATTTTTATTGTTACGTTTATTAATGAGTACTGCTAAGTACTATTTTGGGTATGTAAAAATTGATTACATTCCATATTGATGATGAACAATACAAAAATAACAATGAAAACGGTTATTAATTGTACGGTCATGAATTTTTTCATGCCCATGCTCTTAATTATGCAAAATACAAAAATGTAACGTATTAATTGACATAATTTTTTATGCATGATGAGTTAGCGTTAGAATTTTGAATTATGCTGTCAATAAATGAATTTTTCAGCATCACAAACTAATCAAAAATTTTGAGAAGTAAACTAAGATAAGTGATTTATACAACAATTGCTGTTTATTCCATCAAAATAATTCTTTTGACTCAACCTGATGGTAAAATACAAAACAGTAAGTTTTGTATTTATTCTTAAAAATACAGGGTGTGTCAGAAATCGCGGCCATGAGAAAAATTTCTAGATAAAGTACCAGAAACATGGAAAAAATTCTGTTTGTCAAAAAAATTAACATTTTTTTTGACATTTTTTTGTGTCTATTTAATCATACTTTTTATAATTGTTTAGTAAAGGTACAAAAATTTTGCCAACAAAAGCCCCAAATAACATTAAACAAAGTTACAATTTATGATACAACTTCTTCTTTTTGTAGCCTGTAGCAAAAAAACTTGAAAAATTATTTTTTCTACAGAACTACTAATTTACTACTAATTTCTAACATTTAATACTAATTTCTAACATTATTTTATTTTTGAAAATTCAAGTATTTCTTGGAAATTTTCAAGACACCTATTTTTTGTAAAGTGCTTTCTTTTTAAATACGACAAACGGTTATTAAGAAAAGTTGTTTAAAATTAACATCTGGACCCGTATACCAAATTTCAAAATTACCGCCCAACTTTGATTTTTAATTTTTTTATGTTTATTTCGCAAATCAAAGAATTTTATTTTATTATTAATAAAAATTTCACAAAATTTTCCAAAAAAAATTGAATTTTTTAAAAATTTTTACAATTTTTTATAAAAAAAATTAAAATCATATCTAAATATTTGCCACATAAAAGGCACTTTACTTTACAAAAAAATAAGTTTTTTTTTTAATTTTCAAGGTACCTATACTTAATTTTTTTAAACTAGAATTTGTA